GTGTGTGTGTGTGTGTGTGTGTGTGTGTGTGTGTGTGTGTGTGTGTGTGCATACATGTATGTATTTGTGCATGTGTGTCTATATATACACACACACACACACACACACATATATATATATATATATATACATATATATATATATATATATATACATATATATATATATATATATATATATATATATATATGTATATATATATACATATATATATATATATATATATATATATATATATATATATATATATTCATGCATGTATTTGTGTATGTGTGTGTATGTATGTATGTATGTATGTATGTATGTATGTATGAAATTACACACACACACATACACAAATACATGCATGAATATATATATATATATATATATATATATATATATATATATATATATATATATAATATTGGATTATATTACGTGTTTCTTTATCATGAGTTAATTCTATTTAAACCGTTATATTTTTTTACGGCGGAAAAGCAGTTACCTGCATTAATTGTAGAAAAAAGACCTTGTGTTTAGTCTGAAGCCTGATTGAACTCCAGTATATATATATTACAATCTGTTTTAGCATTGCCGGTATCCATATTTTGTGATGAGGTATAGTTTTACAGCATCACGGTTAAATAATGATGATTTATTTTTTTGTCCTCATTTGAAGGATTGCATGTTTGATTAAAAAAAAATAAAAAAAAATCATAATCGGAAACCTTTAATCTTTAGCAATTTTTAAAACTGGATTATAAAACATGGGCCTAATTTGGCAGTAAACCTAGAGTGCGTACAATATTTTAGTAATATATATATAACTTAACTTAACTTTGATTATAGAACCACCCACAAAATACCTGAGCACCCCCTGAATTATAAAGTTTGCCTATAAGGATTAGGAAAACAGCACCGTACGAAAAGTACTAAGCTCTTTATCACTGCGAATGTTGTAAAGGATAAACAGTGACTTCATTTGAAAAAAACGGGGCAACCTAGTATACCCTAGATATAAAGGATGTATCTGAAATACGATTTACATTTTTTGTTTATATTCGTTTCCAGAAAAAAAAAGAGTAAATGGTCAAAAAACAAGCGACAGTTTTATTTGATATTAACTTGTGTTAACATAAAAAGCTTACCATCTTGATAAAGAGTTTTAGATTATGTATTTGAATAGTTAATATCCATCTTGGCACGATAATATATTTTAAAAACAATCTATCTTAACCCATTGCTGGCGGGGGAAATGAATAAAAAATGGGGAAAATGCTGTGCTCATTTTTAAAAATATTTTTCTGAAATGTGTCTGCACATAGATGGCTCTGCTAGTGCCGAGCCACAAAGGAGTCAAATAGTATATCATGTGACCTTACCTGATTTCACCTTTCCTTGAATTGACGGGTAAAACGTATTTTTACTATTATATCGATGGTGTTATTTTTATCATAAACATTATAATTACTGTAATGTTATAAAAAATAGTAACAGCAAAACAAGATAACGTAAAATATTTTTGTAAATTAAAGAAAAGGGTAAATGGGCGAGACAGGCAGTGCTCGTAATTGGGTCAATTGTGACTTAATACAAGTTGAACCATCTGTGTGTAAAAACAAACAAGTAAACTCACAGTGGGCATGGCATGTACGTACATGCCATGCCCGTCGGCAAAGAGTTGAGAGCGCTGCCGGCTTCACAGTGTCAATACATTAGAGTCTTATTTGATATGAGGCTGTCTAAAGTACCTGTAATATGACACTTGCTATATGTGTAACATAACGTACCATTTTGAAATGGCTTTATAACAATTGCCTTCGGATATTTTCCACATTAAGATATATTAAAACTGCAATGAAAACTCTCTCTCTCTCTCTCTCTCTCTCTCTCTCTCTCTCTCTCTCTCTCTCTCTCTCTCTCTCTCTCTCTCTCTCTCTCCACACATATATATGTGTGTGTGTTTGAGTGTGTGTGTGTGTGCGTGTGTTCGCGCGTGCGCGCGCACACACACACACACACACACACACACACACACACACACACACACACACACACACACACACACACACACACAATATTAAACTGAAATCCCTAATGCATATGGTCATCTGTTTGATCTGCCAGTCTTCATTATTATGATAATGGAATAGGGTATTGTAATACTCAAACATTTCACTGTGTATATAGATTTACTAACTATATCGCTATTAAGAATTATATGTTCACTGATTTAAAGCAATTATGACCCAATAGCTATTAGATAAATATTAATAACGCATATCAGTATTATGCAACAAAACTCGGGGAGGGATAGATACTTTTTTGAATTATTTTATGAAAATGTTTAAATGTTGGACGGTGATCTTTGCTGATACATATGTTTACTGATCATGAATGTTAATGTGAATTGCGTTTATGTATCCCCCCCCCTCTCTCTAAAACATATTCTATCATCCACACTTATGTTCCAATTACTCATTCACACGTAGGGCGCACACACACGTACACACACACACACACACACACACACACACACACACACACACACACACACACACACACACACATATTTGAATAGTGCAAGTATATATAATGCATACACTATACTTCTGATTTATTTGAACCGTCCTTGTTCCTCCAGTGTGAATTAACCATTGCATATAGCGAAGGAATCTCCATGAAGAAATTATGAATGGAATCAATCTTTTAATGTGTATTTAGAGTTAATGATTAAAAAGCATAACGTTTTCATGATATGCGACGTGCTGGTAAAAGCATTTAAATTTTT